ACAGCGGCCGTAGCGGCCACACCCGGGAACCTTCCGTCCTGAGGCCCGCAGGGCAAAGTTCCTCTCTCCTTGGGGACGGGCGGCCCTGGACTGTACCTAATACAGGATCCAGGGGCCCCTGCCCTTCTGGGAAAATGCCGGTCACGCTCCTAGGGCCCACCCGCCCCCCGTCCTGGCACACGGACTGGAGAAGCCCTGCAGCCGGGGCCAGCTGCGGAGAGCCGTGGGCCTTTGTGCAGATGGCGCTTGCCGGGCGCAGGCCTCGCTCCTGAAGGAGCCCCAGGAGCCGTTTCCCTTCCACAGGGAACAGCGCTCGCGTTGCGCTGGGCCATGACGCAGTGCCCAGCAGGGCTGCTCGCCTCTGCTGCCCCGCTGCCACTGAACACATCGCACCTCGCACGATGTGCTGCTGCCGCTGCTGCCCGAGGGGCACACACGCACAGGGACACCCCGCAGGATGGCTGTCCCATTGCTGGTCCGGCAATTATGCTCCACCTAACATGGTCTGGTGCCTCCGGGAGACAAGTTGCCACAGACTTTCCAATTGCCTACGCTCCGTTTTTACCTCTTCCAGTCACCACCTACAGACACCCCCCATAAAAGCACAGCGTGTCTCAGGCAATAACCTTCAGAAACCTTTCCTAGATAGTGCTGTCTGACCATAAATCATAGCGGGAGAACACAGGCACACAACCGTTGTGCAGCAGCCACTGCACAGCTCTGCAGGAGGAAATCTCCAATGCAGACCATTACAAGGCCGAGGAACCACACGATAATCATTTCTAAAATTCATAAGTTTCTCTCCTTGCTTGGATTATGACATGATCTCAAATTCTTCAAGAAAGTAAAATTCATTTACAAATAAAAAATATATTTGTGTGATATGAAAACTACTTAATAGGACAATTAATTTTCCAGAACACATGGTACAAGAATAATTGTCCAGGATATTAAGAAGAAAGCAGATTAGCAGCAAGGCCCAACAAAATGCCAGTCAGCATCTGCTTGTTATATCAAAAGATAAGCAACAGATTTTTTTGTGTGTGTGCAAGTCCAATGCTTTCACATCAAAAGACCAAGAGATATTTCATTTTGACAGTCTAAAATAAGACAGTTTGGTATTGCACAGATAGGTAAGTGTTGATGAATCAAGAAGGAAAGCCACATACTGAGAAAATAAATAACAGTAGAAAGGAAATCCAGTGTGTCTTATCTTACATGGAAATATACATTAGGAATAAATAGAGATCTAATGAAGTAAAAGTAGATTGTGGAATAGGTTGCTCATTATTTAAAGACACGCATTTCTTATTCATACCAGACCTACAAATCCATTCTGAATAAATGTTCAGTTGCTTCTAAGAGATATCAGCATTCTGCCCTTTTTTTTTTTTCTTTAAAGATTAATATTTTAGCAATGGTTTGCTTTATTTTTAGCAGTTTATGAAAGCAATTACTGCCCTGTCCAGAGCAAAAAAAGCAATGAATCACTTGCTTTGTGAGACAAGGCAGAAGCAATAATCTGAGACAGACAACAGCACACAAATTCCTCTGCACTGTTGTTCCAGGCTTCCGTAGCAACAGCCTCTGCCTGTCAGTGTTTTCTACTCACTATTCCCCCGCCCCTGCCTTATTTCTTTCAGCATATCTGCTAAAGCTCAGAGCACCAAAAAGACACAGCTTCAGTAGCCTGCAGTAGCAAGCCTTCTGAATTACTCTGGATCTTTCTTCTTAGTAATCTCCTCATACCATTCAGTGCACACACCTTACTTAGGAGTAGCTGCACTCCCTCTGAATGGGCTGGATTTCTACTGAAATTCAGCAGCTCTCAGGCTTTGGGGCCAGTTGCAGTTGAACAGTTACCATTTTGTATGAATACAGCCATATTTCTGTATAACTGACATCACTCACATGTTTTACTGATACCACTTGGAGAAGAACAACCCACAGGTCACTGTAAGTTTACTGCCATGTGAACACAAATTCTGCTTCTCTCTCCACAACTTATAATCATAATTACTGAAGTAGTGTATGTGAGCAACAAAAAGAGAGCATGTGGCTACAGTACAATACCTACCAGTGTCCACCAGAAAGTTTAGGTAACTTACGTTCACTTTTGACACGAGCCTTAAGTCATTGTTTGCTGTCCGCCCGGGCTGCAGAGCTTCAGTTGGAGATTCAGTGGAGAAGCCTTACAAATGGTCTGGCAATGAACAGCTAAGTGATTTAGGACTCCTCATTCTGAAACAAACTGATTTAGGAGATATAGCAGAGATTATCAAAGTGTAACCAGTAGGGTGGAAAATCGTTGAAGCTACCCAGAAACAAATTCCGAACAAACGAAGCCAAGGTTTTTTTCTACGAATGAGTGCAATCCAGTGGAACTACCTGACACAAGAAGCTAAATGTTTATATGGGCTCTAGGGGAAACTAGACAGGCTTGTGGACGAGAAATCCAGCCATTCAAAAATTACATACGGCTGTATAGCCTGTTCGGAATCAGATAAACCCCTTAGTTGCAATGCAGGTACCATTTAAGCTGATCTTGTCCTTCGGCTGTTTCTTGCAGGAGTGGGCTGCCGTGGTGGTTTAACGGCGTCTGGGCTTCAGTTGGAGGGGTGGGCCCCTGAGGGACCCGGTGCAGCCAATCAGCTGCCTAGTTTTGAAAAGCCAATCAGACGCCTAGATCTGAAGATTGACACCCAGTTAAACCAGTAAGAAGAGTTGAACACGCCTCCCTGGCAAAGCACCTTTAAAAATGAGCAAAGCCCGGGAACGCCCCCTCGACTTCCGGCCTTTGAGGAGCTGAGTGGCGGGGCCGGTCCCGCGCGGCCGGGTCAGATCGGGCCGGGCCGGGCTAGTCCTACACGGCCGGGCCGGGCTGGGCTGGGCTGGGTAGGGTTGG